CTCAACACTCCCGCATGCCAGAACCTGGTGGAGCCTGTGGAGGAGTTCACTTTCCTCAACAACGTCATTACACCCCTCTACCAGTACTGCAGAGACCAGGGATACGAAATCTCCGATGGCGTCTACGTGCGACGTGAGCGTGATCACGACAAGGTTATCGGATACGACGACTGCAACCAGCTTTTCTGGTACCCCGAGGGAATCGAGAAGATCGTCCTTGAGGACAAGTCCAAGTTGGTCGACGTTCCTCCTGCCGAGCGCTACCTCAAGTTCAAGGACATCAACTGGAAGAAGTGCTTCTTCAAGACGTACAAGGAGACTCGATCATGGTTCCATTTGCTTGTTAACTTCAACCGCATTTGGATCATTCACTTGACCATGTTCTGGTTCTACACTGCATACAACTCTCCCAGTTTGGTCGTTGGTCCTTCGTACGAGCAACAAGCCAACCAGCAGCCGTCGACGGCCCAGAATTTCTCTATTGTTGGATTCGGTGGCACGATCGCCGCGCTCATTCAGGTTTTGGCTACCCTGGCCGAGTGGGCGTACGTGCCTCGCAAATGGGCTGGCGCGCAGCACTTGACCAAGCGTCTCTTATTCTTGATCTTCATTCTGGTCATCAATGTCGCGCCCTTCGTCTATGTCTTTGTGCTTCCGAACCCCAATGAGCAGATTGCTAAGATCCTCGCCATTGTGCAGTTCATCATTGCAATCCTCACCTTCATCTTCTTCTCGGTTATGCCGCTCGGCGGCCTCTTCGGAAGCTACCTGACCAAGAACTCGCGCAAGTACGTTGCCAGTCAGACATTCACCGCAAGCTACCCACGCTTGAAGGGCAACGACATGGCCATGTCCTACTTCCTATGGGTCGCCGTCTTCGGTGCCAAATTCGGAGAATCCTACGTCTACCTGACCTTGTCCTTCAGGGATCCTATTCGATACCTCACCATCATGCAAATCGATTGTCTTGGCGACAAGATCATTGGAGATGTTCTGTGCAAGAAGCAGCCGTACGTTCTTCTGGCTCTGATGGCCTTCACCGATTTGATCTTCTTCTTCCTTGACACGTACTTGTGGTATGTCTTGGTCAATGCGATTTTCTCCATTGCCCGATCCTTCTACATTGGTTCCTCCATCTGGACACCTTGGAGAAACATTTTCTCTCGCTTGCCCAAGCGTATCTACTCCAAGATTCTTGCTACTGGCGACATGGAAATCAAGTACAAGCCAAAGGTGCTCATCTCTCAGGTGTGGAACGCCATCGTCATCTCCATGTACAGAGAACATCTGTTGGCCATCGACCACGTGCAGAAGCTTCTCTACCACCAGGTTCCTTCTGAGCAAGAGGGTAAGAGAACGTTGAGAGCGCCTACCTTCTTCGTTTCTCAGGAAGATCACTCGTTCAAGACAGAGTTCTTCCCTACCGACAGCGAAGCCGAGAGACGTCTTTCTTTCTTCGCTCAATCGTTGTCGACTCCCATCCCGGAGCCTGTGCCAGTCGACAACATGCCGACCTTCACCGTTCTCATTCCCCATTACAGCGAAAAGATTCTGCTCTCTCTGCGCGAGATTATTCGCGAGGATGAGCCCTACTCTCGCGTCACACTGCTCGAGTACCTCAAGCAGCTTCATCCGCACGAATGGGACTGCTTCGTCAAGGACACAAAGATTCTGGCTGATGAAACCTCGCAATTCAATGGCGACGGCAACACAAACGAGAAGAACGAAAAGGACACCGCCAAGAGCAAGATCGACGACTTGCCCTTCTACTGCATTGGTTTCAAATCTTCCGCCCCCGAGTACACTCTCAGAACCCGTATCTGGGCATCTCTTCGCTTCCAGACCTTGTATCGCACGATTTCTGGCTTCATGAATTATAGTAGAGCTATCAAGCTTTTGTATCGCGTGGAAAACCCAGAGGTTGTCCAAATGTTTGGTGGAAACTCCGACAAGCTCGAGCGTGAGCTCGAGCGCATGGCCCGCCGCAAGTTCAAGCTCTGTGTTTCCATGCAGCGTTACGCCAAGTTCAAGAAAGAAGAGATGGAAAATGCCGAGTTCCTGCTTCGCGCCTACCCCGATCTTCAGATTGCCTACCTCGACGAGGAGCCTCCTCTGGCTGAGGGCGACGAGCCTCGTCTGTACTCTGCCCTCATCGACGGTCACTCGGAGATCATGGAAAACGGCATGCGCAAGCCCAAGTTCCGCATCCAACTTTCCGGTAACCCCATCTTGGGAGACGGCAAATCCGACAACCAGAACCACTCGCTTATCTTCTACCGCGGAGAATACATCCAGCTTATCGACGCCAACCAGGACAACTACCTCGAGGAGTGCCTCAAGATCCGATCTGTGCTCGCAGAATTCGAGGAGATGAAGACTGATAATGTCAGCCCCTACACTCCTGGTGTTAAGAGCAAGATGACCAACCCTGTCGCTATTCTTGGTGCTCGCGAGTACATTTTCTCCGAGAACATTGGTATTCTTGGTGACGTCGCTGCTGGAAAGGAACAGACATTCGGTACCCTTTTCGCCCGTACCCTCGCTCAAATCGGAGGCAAGCTTCATTACGGTCACCCAGATTTCCTCAATGGTATCTTCATGACGACTCGTGGTGGTGTTTCGAAGGCCCAGAAGGGTTTGCATCTCAACGAGGATATTTACGCCGGAATGAACGCCCTCTTGCGAGGTGGCAGAATCAAGCACTGCGAGTACTACCAGTGTGGTAAGGGTCGTGATTTGGGTTTCGGCTCAATTCTGAACTTCACCACCAAGATTGGAACTGGCATGGGTGAGCAGATGCTTTCTCGCGAGTACTACTACCTCGGAACTCAGTTGCCTTTGGACCGTTTCCTCTCTTTCTACTACGCCCATCCCGGTTTCCATCTCAACAACATGTTTATTATGTTGTCCGTCCAGATGTTCATGATCTGCTTGCTCAGCTTGGGCGCCCTCCGGAAAGAAACCAAGGCTTGCGACTACAACCGCGACGTTCCTATCACTGATCCTCTCTTCCCGACTGGTTGCCAGAACACCGATGCTCTCATGGATTGGGTGTACCGCTGCATTCTCTCCATTATCTTTGTGTTGCTGTTGGCCTTCGTGCCGCTGGTCGTACAAGAGTTGACTGAGAGAGGTTTCTGGCGTGCCACCAAGCGTCTTGGCAAGCAGTTCTCTTCGCTCTCGCCGTTCTTCGAGGTCTTCGTTTGCCAGATTTACGCAAATTCGGTACAGCAGGATCTCTCGTTTGGCGGTGCCCGGTACATTGGTACTGGTCGTGGCTTTGCGACTGCTCGCATCCCCTTCGGTGTCTTGTACTCCCGTTTTGCCGGTCCTTCGATCTACTTCGGGTCCCGTCTCCTGATGATGCTTCTCTTCGCCACCGTCACCATCTGGCAAGCCGCACTCGTTTACTTCTGGATCTCCCTCCTCGCCCTGGTTATCTCGCCCTTCCTGTATAACCCGCATCAGTTCGCTTGGAGCGATTTCTTCATCGACTACCGCGACTTCTTGAGATGGTTGTCCCGTGGTAACTCTCGCTCCCACGCATCTTCCTGGATCGCCTTCTGCCGTCTGTCTCGTACCCGTATTACAGGTTACAAACGCAAGGCTCTTGGCGACCCATCTGCCAAGATGTCATCCGACGTTTCCCGTGCGGCCATCACCAACATGTTCTGGGGCGAGATTCTTACCCCTCTCCTTCTCGTGGTCGTCACCGTCATTCCGTACCTGTACATCAACGCCCAGACCGGTGTCTCTGCTACCAATAACCCCAATGCCTCATCTTCGGAGATCAAGCGCACCAACTCTCTGATCAGAGTCGGAGTTATCGCACTGGCCCCTATTGCAGTCAACGCTGGCGCGTTGATGATGTTCTTCTTCATGGCCTGCTTCATGGGTCCCCTCCTGAGCATGTGCTGCAAGAAGTTCGGTAGTGTCCTTGCGGCGATTGCCCACGGCGTTGCTGTGGTCATGTTGCTTGTCTTCTTCGAGGTCATGTTCCTGCTTGAGTCTTTCGATTTCGCCCGAACTATGCTTGGCATGATCGCCGTGGTCGCAATCCAACGTTTCATCTTCAAACTGATTATCTCGCTCACCTTGACGCGTGAGATGAAGACGGACGCGGCGAACATTGCATTCTGGACCGGCAAGTGGTACTCTATGGGATGGCACACGATCTCCCAGCCCGCCCGTGAATTCCTCTGCAAGATCACGGAGTTGAGCATGTTCGCGGCCGACTTTGTTTTGGGTCACTTCCTCCTCTTCATCATGCTTCCGGTCATTCTTGTTCCCAAGATTGACATGCTGCACTCCATGATGCTCTTCTGGCTTCGTCCTGGGTATGTACTCCTTATCACTCTTCCCCCGATCCTTTCTTGCACCGTTGCTAACAAACTATCAATAGTCGCCAAATCCGCCCGCCAATCTACTCGATGAAGCAGTCCAAGTTGAGACGCAAGCGTGTGTTCCGCTATGCCATCCTCTACTTCACCATGTTCATTCTCTTCATGGCTCTCATGATCGGCCCTGCCGTCGCTGGTGACATGATCCCTATGAGCATCTTCAAGTCTCTGGACTCGACGGACCTGGCCCTGATCCAACCTACCAGCCTCAACAACGACAACACGCTAGGAGAGACTGAGACTGGTACCGGAGCGGCAGACTACTCGGGAGCCTACCTCACGATGACTTCATCGTCGGCAAAGGCATCCAAGACCAGCAACTCGGAGAGAGTGCGCCTTTTCTAATTGTACGAGTTGTATCATAAGACGCATTTGGGGGTGGTAGAGAGAGAGAGTCGTCGTTCCACAAGCGGTCTCGGGATGTTTCCGAGGAAGGATGGAACAGCCCAGACTCCGGCGGCAGGTTTTTAATGTCCATTATCAGGCGTGTATTGTGTCTTTTCCGACTGCTACCTATTCATTTCTCTTTTTGTACGGGCGGGAAAACATGGCTGGCATGGAATCACGGCTGTGACGGCCTGCAGACTACATATATCACCAAAGGCCAAGAGTGAGACTACCTTAGACGGGTGTATAATCAAGTCCCATTTTGTTCACTTACAAGGTTACCTATCAATTCGTAATGTGCAAAGGTCTGAAGTGACTTGAGTTTGGTGACGGGGCCACCGTAATCCATGAACCATGGCATGAGATGTGCGTAGCTTCGTTGATAAGGTCCAGATGTTAAGTTCAAGGGGCGGGCTCGGCTCTGTGGATATCTTAAGGCTAGTCCTCTCACTATGGCGAGAGAAGTAGTTGCGAATGAGAGTAATCCTGCCATTCATCGAGGAAGGGATGACAGCATTTGTCCTCGGAAACCTTCCATGGGTTGATGTTAAGTGAGATAAGGTGCCGTGAGTGACGGAGTGTGCTTGACAGAGGGTGTATTATATGAATATGCAATATCGAGTACCTAGCACTTAAGAGGGACGTATTCAAGTATCCGAAAGCACAGGACAGGCACTCAGGGGCAGAGAACCCTGTAGGCCAATCAGAACTTACCTGAAAGGACATGGAAGGATCGACTGCCAGGGGGCGCGCTCGGGGAAAAAACCGCGTCGGAGGTGCTGTCACTTTGGCGCATTTTCACGACCTGAGCGCACTTGTGACTTGGCCGATTTCTTGCCTCTGGTTCCCTCATCAAGGCGCCTTGATAATTCCTTGCTACCTCTCCACTGCCCGGAAAGAAAGTCTCCATCATCGTGTGTCTTGCGCTTCTTTGACTGCAGCACCTTGGTTCTGTACCTGTCAATCCAGGGCTCTCTGTACGGATACCTCAAGGTAGCGAGCGCAAAGCACCCGGGCATCCATCGCACCAGGATTGGCCGACGGTCCAACGCACCATCCCGTAATCCTCATTTCCCTCCTACCATCAGGTCCGGATTCTTCGGCCGCGACTACCCTCACAACTTTACCCACTCTGCAGATACAACACATCAAATTGTCGACTCGCCTCCCGCATCTCTTCGTCTCTCACAGTCAACCACTGCGGTCGAATTGCATTGTCCTTACTCTGCATTTCCGTCAAAGCCATCATGGACGCAGGCGAGGCCCAAACGAAGCTGATTGCCTGGCTGCACGAGGCCTCCGAGGCCTTTCAAAAAGTTCCTGGATCAGCCGTTCTAATTCGTTACATTCAGTCGAGCTACCAGAACGATCCCATCCGTTCAGGCATTGAGCTAGTTCTCTTCATCTTCTTTGTCCGCTACCTCTTGTCGCCCTCCTATTCAACCCAGAAGCAGAATTTCATCAAACTCCGCGACGATGTACGTTGACTCCGACCCCCTGCCCTATACTCTCTTGACTCTGAACTCTGAAGCCCCGGGCCTTTCACTGACACTGCTGGCTAGGAAATCGACGAGTTGGTAGAAGACTGGACCCCGGAGCCGCTTGTGGCTCCTCAAACTGCTCTCGAGGAGATCGAGGCCGAAAGGTTGCCTGTGATTGTTGGGTACGACCGATCCCCCTTTCCCGTCAACGATCCTTCGCCAGAGACCACTTGACTAATATTGTGCAGACCGACCGGCCCCAAGACCAAGCTCGCAAACGGACGCACTGTCACGAACCTCGCTTCATACAACTTCTATAACTTCAATGCCAACGAACAGATCAAGGACAAGGCCATCCAGACGCTGCGCACCTACGGCGTGGGCCCATGCGGCCCCCCCCAATTCTACGGGACTCAGGACGTGCACATGAAGACTGAAGCAGACATCGCCGCCTATCTTGGTACCGAAGCCTGCATTGTTTATGCCCAAGCCTTCTCTACTATCTCGAGTGTCATCCCCGCCTTCTGCAAGCGCGGAGACATCATTGTCGCTGACCGCGCCGTCAACTACTCCATTCGTAAGGGTATGGAGGCGTCCCGAAGCACCATCAAGTGGTACAACCACGGCGATATGGACGACCTCGAGCGAGTTATCCGGAAAGTGGTCAAGGACCAGAAGGGCAAGAAGTTGACGAGAAGATTCATCGTCTCGGAAGGCTTGTTCGAGATCACGGGAGACAGCGCAGACTTGCCCAGACTTGTGAGTAGCTCGTAATGGCGCTACTTCCGCCACCCGACAGGTGACCAATGTTGGCTGACAATGCATGCAGGTTGAATTGAAGGAAAAGTACAGATTCCGTATCATCCTCGACGAAACTTGGTCTTTTGGCGTCCTCGGCCGAACCGGTCGCGGTCTTACGGAAGCGCAGAACGTCGACCCCTCTCAGGTAGACATGATCGCTGGCTCCCTCGCCGGCCCTCTTTGCGCTGGTGGCGGTTTCTGCGCTGGTGCCAAGGATGTTGTTGAGCACCAGCGTCTCACGGCAGCTTCTTACACCTTCTCAGCTGCACTGCCAGCCATGCTTGCGGTCACGGCCAGCGAGACTCTCAGCGTTTTGCAATCTAACCCGGACATCCTCACCCAGTGCCGTGAGAACACCAAGGCCATGAGGGCACAGCTGGATCCTCGCAGTGACTGGGTCGTCTGCACCAGCTCGCCTGAGAACCCCATCATGCTGCTGGTGCTTAAGGCCGAGGTTGTCGCTGCACGCAAGCTTACACGAGAGGACCAAGAAAGGCTACTACAAGACTGTGTTGATGAGGTAAGTCATTGACATATGAGCTTTCGGAAGAAGAAAGGTGCTAACCGTGGCTTGCCCATCAAGGCCCTTGCCAACGGAGTTCTCATTACGCGCCTCAAGAGCATGCCCATTGCCAACGACCTGAACCCGAAGGACGACAGTTGGCAGATCCAGCCAGCGCTCAAGGTATGCCTGACTACAGGCTTGCCAAGGAAGGATATCGAGAAAGCAGGTGTTACCATCCGACACGCCATCACGAAGGTCATGACCCGGAAGTCGAGCTCCAAGTCATCATAGCGTACTCGACTCCCACTCTGCTTGGAATGACTTTACGGCATGCACTATAGTGGATGACTTTATGCGGTTGTCGTTTTCATATGTGTACTTGGGCTTGTGTCGAACATAAACGATGCCGAGATCGAGAGCACGGCGGCTGGGGACTCGGATACCCTAGAGAGTTCGCGGACTCACTTGTAATGACAAACATATACATACTAATTAATCATAGAGACTGAAACGGCAGTCGTTATTTTCATTTCGGACATCTCCTGTCGTACAGGAATTTGTAACAATCAGGGTGCGGAGCTATGCGAGAGAGAGTTCGCAACGCTAGACAAAGACTGGAAAAGGTTTGCCAAAGGGGATATGAGAGTGATGGTAGCAAACACAAAGACCGTACCGCCAGCCACCACCCACTTCCCGCCGTCAGCTCGGCCCCGGATTCGGCATCGGGTGGACGGTCAAACAGCCCCAGCAACTCGGCATTATGCCGCCCTCCACCTTTGTCGACGGAGCCCGTAGGTCCAGACTCTTTCGGAAAGTTTCCTCTCTTTTCCCCTCTCCATTCGGTCAAGGTTGAAAAAAAAAAAACTGAAGGTTTCGCGGCTTCGGGTTCTGCAAGTGTTCTAGACCAGCGGACTTCTCTCTTAGACGTGCTCTACCGTCCGCTTTTTGCCCTTTTCCGATTGCTAACAAGGGATTTAGAACAAGCCCCCCGCCTTGAAGTCGGTGGAGTGACGAGTCTTCTTTCGAACACGCGTCAAGGTCTTTTTACTAGGTACAAATCGGGATATCCATTGCGCTACCAGGCACTTGGATCGGGCACCCGTGTGAAGTTGGCGTTTAGAGACCGGTCACCTCTCGATGGCCGGGCGCCGCAATTGATTACCTGTACGGCGCCGATGAGGGCTCAAGGAGGACGCCTCCCCAGTACCTAGGCTATGTTGTCGTCGTTGTCTTCCTCAGAGGCTGGATGAGGAAGATAGTGGCAGGCTCTAAGCCATCTGTGTGACCTGGCTTCAGGGTACAATGTATTCTGATCATACGGTGAGCTCTATAAGATGCCTCAATGTCGTTGCTTTTCATCTTTTGGGCTTTCGAGATCTTTACACATTCATTGAACCGTCTGAGACGACTATCTTGATTGCCTCTCATCACTTTCCTTATACTTTTTGAGTAGAAACAACATTCCTTCTGTTGCAGCATCCGATCCTACCTGGCAATCGAAGAGCAACGCTTCCTACCACTTTACCTATTAGAATTGTCGAGTATTGCGCTCTTGACTGTACTTACTCGGAGCAATCGAACTCAGATCGTCCGAACTCGACGACGGCATCGAGAACTAGGCACTCAACATTCCCAACGGCTCTACGTTTGTTCATCATTATCTCTAGATATTGAGAACAAAGTGTGACCAACACGCTGCAAATCAACAACACCTCGAGCTACAGAACCCATTTTCGGAAGTGAGTTAAGAAATCTACATAAAATTCTTGTTGATTTTACATTCCTCGGGAGGGGTTCCTCGGCTCCTCGGATACAAGCTGGCTCTTTCCCCCAGTGCAATGTGTTGCTTGTTACAAGTGGGAACCAACATTCCTGCCTCCGGTGGCGCTGTCTCTCCCTTCCGTTCGTTACTCCCTTCCCGTCCCATCTCCTACTCAATTGTTCTCCGTACCTCATCTTACCCCGTTCCTGTTACTCTTGGCTCGAGACAGCAAGCCCCTGCCGAACATCTCAGTCAAATGATTGAGCCGTGAGAAGTCACAGCCAGGCACCATGGGCATCCCCCCGCGGGGTTGGAGGACTAGGCTACTTGACTACACCATGACCCCCTTTCTGCCTCTTTTCGCATTTCTCGTCTCTTCATCTTCTTGTCTTCGTTCCCTCGTCCTATACTATTGCCCGTCGCCGTTGGCTTTGTGTAGTGCAAAGCTGTATCGACAGCGATTCGTTCCTTTCCTGCTGATGTTGATGCTTTCGTTGTAGTCACTCGTTTTCTGACCCTACTATTCTTCTCTCTCGTTCAACCCTGATTCCAAACCTGTTTAACTCACGATTCTGTCGCTACAGACCCCAACTTTGAACAATCCTGTTCCAGCGAATTTCAACCTCAGCCGAAGCCTAAAACCACGGGCGCTTACATCACCACATTCTCTGGTATCATTACTTTGCCTACCTCGGGCCCAATCATCACGCGCCACCAAGCTATTAAAGTCGCAAAACGAAAATGAAGTCAGCCGGTCTTTCGTCAACACTGGCAGTCGCTGTCTTGCTGGGGCTCTCGGCTGCTCATCCCAAAGGTGAGCCAGGCTTGTCCGTTGCCATGATGTTCAAGAGCATATCTAACATTTAATTACAGGTACTAGAGACGCCAGAGGAGCAATCATTCGTCCTGAGAAGATCCTTGTCACCGATTCTACGCTCAACGAGGCTACTGAGGCCCCTCAAGTCGTTGTTTATGTCGACGAAGAGGGCACCCCTTTGGAAACGACCGTCGAAACTGTCCGCTTCGTGCCGGCGACGCAATCACCCAAGCGCCCCTCGAAGCCTGTAGAGCTCAAAACCCGGTCCGAGGAATTGGCTACCCGCGTAACCTCATCGCGAGACCTCACTAGCGACATCCTAGGCTCGTCTTCTTCGTTGATCGCCTCGACGACCACTCTTCTCTCCGCTTCTTCAACATCATCCTCTACGCCCACACCTTCTTCCTCCCTTACTACGAACTCGACTCTTTACGGAATCGCCTATGCACCTTACACGGCAGCGGGACTGTGTAAAACAGCTACTGAGATCGACGCCGACTTTACGGAGCTCAAGGGAAAGTACTCGGTAGTGCGCACCTACGGTACCGACTGCAATCAGATCGCGAACGCCCTTCCCGCGGCCAAGAAGGCTGGTCTCAAACTCTTCTTGGGCATTTTTGACATCAGCTCGATCTCTACCCAGGTCGCATCCATTATCACGGCAGCCAACGGCGACTGGTCTTTGATCGATACTGTCAGTGTCGGCAACGAATTGGTCAACAATGGCAAGGCCACAGCGCAGCAAATGGTCACAGCCATCACCCAGACACGCCAGCTTCTCCGCGCTAACGGCTACAACGGCCCGGTCGTCACTGTTGATACCTTTGTGGCGGTCCTTGCCAACCCTTCTCTTTGCGATGCTTCTGACTACTGCGCGATGAACATTCACCCCTTCTTCGACAGCAACACGGCGGCGAAGGACGCTGGCTCGTTCATCACTAGCACGGTTGCTCAGGTCCAGGCCAAGCTCTCTGACCGAAGCAAGCGCGTTGTCTGCACGGAGACGGGATGGCCATGGAAGGGAAATGCCAATGGTGCCGCTGTTCCAGGTCTCAGTGAGCAGAAGTTGGCTGTTGACTCAATCAAGAAGGCATACGCAAGCCATCCAGGTGATGTTATTCTCTTCTCTGCCTTCAACGACCTCTGGAAGCACGCCGAGGCAGCGACCTTCAATGCGGAGCAGTACTGGGGCATTGGAGCTCTGTACTCGGCATCTGGAAAATAAGCAGAAGAACTGCTAGAGGAGGAAGTGAGACGGTCGTTTGTTTCTGCTGGGCTGCGGGCAAGCCAAGGACGAGGCGGATACATATGGATTCTTTTTGGCTGAAATGACGATTATCAAAACATTCATGTAATATACATTACAAAACAAATTTTTTTGGAATGAGCTATTGCCTAGTTGCATCTCTAGGCCATGCGTGCATGTCGGTATCTTCGAGGTTCTTCCATGATCTACGATAGGACCAAAAACCAAGCTCAACTATTCTTACCCAGGTGAAATGGGCACTTCCTGTCGACAAATACGTGCAGCTTCTCATTAGTGCTCATGGATATTTATGTGAGCCTCGTAGCACAGAGTTCCTAAGGTAGGTAGGCAGACAACTGGCTGTGTCTGGTCCGACGGTTTTCCGTGGCCAATAATCGGACAACCGGGCCGTCCGGCCCCACACGGCCGATAGTAGTCCGTGATGAGGCTAGTTCGATCTGGTATTTCGATGAGAGCGCTCCATAGAAAAGAAGAAGAAAAAAGAGAGAGGACAAAACGTTACATATGATTGCAATGGGAGCAAGTAAAAGCAACTCAAGAGAAAGTGTGTGAAATGTGATTGCTCAATTTACCCAGCAAAGTCCAGAGTAAAGGGTGCCGAGAGTACCGTCTGTACACGTATACCTATACTACCTAGGAAGAACGAGAAATGGGGTAATTGAAGCGCAGGCACAGGCAGATAGTGAGCCGAGACAACTAGAAACACGCAATGGTGGAACTGTTCAGCGATGTTTCTCGAACGATTTGTCTTGGGAGGAATGTGGCTGTGGCTGTATATTTGCAACGACCAGCGGACTCGAGCGGCCCCCGATCACCCGATTAGTGGGCTTGGTGGGAGATGAGGTACCTGCGCAGCTACGGCAAGGTATTTCAAGGGCGCATGGATGTGCAGCGCGCCCTAGGCCTAAGATGGTGGAGGTATTACAGAGCGGGATGGGTTTTCGCCGCGGATCCCGGCGCAGAGCCCGCGCAGAGCCCCTCCAACATGTCAACTCCCTGTCCTGTGTCCCACTTACACTCAAGTACCGGTATCTGAACCGCGTAGGTAGATGAGTCTTGAAGCACTAAAAGCATCTCAAGCTTTCCTTAGCTGAATTAGAAAGGACACGACTTGTTGGCTTGGGAGTGTAAGGCCTACTACTTACCATTGATAGCTTACCTTGAGGTACGCGCCCACTGGACGTACCGTCCAATACCTTGATGTACGATGTACCTTTGACGGCCGGATCAACAAGATGCGGTGAGCTTCGGCGAACCAAAGCTGCAGCATCCCTTCACACGTTCCGATTAGCTGTTCTTCCCTTCCTCCAACCACCCCTCTAAAGCACACCACTTCTCCCATTATTTTATTTCGGGGAGCTGCCTTTCTTCTTCAAGAACTCAAATTTGTTCGTCCCATTGGGGTTCCAGGACTTGCTCTAGCCAATCCCCGTCCCAAGCTTCTTTTTACTTTTGCTGCTTTGTAACCGACAGCCAAACCCAATTCCAACGTCAAAACGTGGAACGCGGTCGTGTCGGAGACGCAAGCGCAATGGCTACCACCGCGGAGACGGCTTCCGGTGGGAAGCAGCCAAAGAGGACGAGGGAGTATCCGCTCATGTCGCGCCGCGAGATTGAAGATTTAATCGCACAAGGCAGAACTGTCACAATAGTTGACGATTTCGTCGTCAAGCTGGACGGGTGGCTGGCATACCACCCCGGCGGCGACAAGGCTATCCAGCACATGGTCGGTCGAGATGCCACCGACGAGGTCACCGTGTAAGCGCACCCCTGTTCCTCTTCCAACTCCCACTAGATCCTCTCCGTCGCGAGCTGGGAAAGGGACGAGGAAGAGAAAGAGAACGAGAACTTACATTGGCTTATTAATGTCTTGCAATACGGCAGACTGCATTCCCCGGAAGCCAAGGCACAGATGGCTCGGTATCGTATCGGAAGAATCGAGGGCCACTGGAGGAACTTTGTGCCACCCATCCAGGGAGGCAAGTTCAGGGCCATCGAGCAGGGCGGCCCGGAGTTTGACCCTGCCGAAGACGACGACGCACTGCGCTTCTTTGGCGCCTCATCGCCCAGCGATATCAGCTCACGAGAAGCCTCGCCCGTATTTGACACCGCCGAGAACCACGTCCGCCATAGACACGGCGCCGCGCCGAGCCCAAACTCGACCTCTGGCTCTTCCGCTACGTCAGTAATCGACGATGGCCACGACGACAAGGAGATGGACGGTACTGCCTTTCTCGACTCGGAGACGCGGAAGCAGATCCGTCTCGACCTCGACAAGTACCCTGCCCTAGACGACGAGACGCAGTCGGACATCGTGCGAAAGTACAGGCTCCTCGACAAGCGCATCAAGGCTGAGGGGCTTTACGACTGCGACTACCGTGCCTATGCCATCGAGGTATCACGGTATACACTTCTCTTCGTCGGCATGCTGACGTTTCTGCGATGGGGCTGGTACTTCCCGAGCGCAGCTTGTCTGGGCTGCTTCTGGCACCAGCTCGTCTTTACCGCTCACGATGCCGGGCATATGGGCATCACTCATAACTTTCACGTCGACACGTGCATAGGCATTTTCGTCGCCGACTTTATGGGCGGGCTGTCCATTGGATGGTGGAAGCGGAATCACAACGTCCACCACATTGTTACGAATTCTCCCGAGCATGACCCCGATATCGAGCATCTGCCCTTCTTCGCTGTCTCCCACCGTTTCCTCGGTAACTTGACGTCGACCTACTACGAGCGAGTAATGGAGTACGATTTCGCCGCGAAGCTGTTCCTGAAGGCACAGTCGTATCTCTACTACCCCATCATGCTCTTTGGCCGCTTCAACCTGTACAGACTTTCCTGGGACCACCTTATCATGGGCCGCGGTCCAAAGAAGGGCATCGCCTGGTGGCACCGCTGGCTCGAGATGGCCGGCCAGGTCTTCTTCTGGATCTGGTTCGGCTACGGCATCGTGTACAAGTCCATCCCCACCAACTGGGACCGCTTCGTCTTCGTCATCATCAGCCACATGTTCCAGGCCCCGCTGCACGTCCAGATCACGCTCTCCCACTTCGCCATGAGCACCGCAGACCTCGGCCCCCACGAGTCGTTCCCGCAAAAGATGTTGAGGACGACCATGGACGTCGACTGCCCGACCTGGCTCGACTTCTTCCACGGCGGCTTGCAGTTCCAGGTCGTCCACCACATGTACCCGCGCATCCCACGCCACAACCTGCGCAAGACGCAGCGGCTCGTGCAGGACTTTTGCAACGATGTGGGCATTCCGTACGCCCTTTACGGGTTTGTCGACGGTAACAAGGACGTGGTAGGTCGGCTGGCCGAGGTGTCCCGGCAGGCGGCCATCTTGGCAAAATGCCAAAAGGTCGCCGCTGATCACATCCAGAACGGCGGTCATGGTCACTGATGGAACCCGGTTGGCCGTTTCGGTCTCGCATCTTAACCTCAAAAAGCTGGTCCCCTGTTTGTCATCTAATTGCACAATATACTTTTCAATATACTTCTCTCGTGGCGGAGAGAGGAAGTGAATGTGTCTACTTGCGACTGGGGGGGGGGGGTTTACGGGGTGAGGTGAGGGGAGTAGACATGCATTCGTGCATACCAACCATGTGGCCTGTGGCGCCCAAGCCAAGATAGGCTACAACAATATCTGGAAAACGAATCGATCTGATATTATATTGAAATCTGTGTGTGAAAACAAGGGTGCATGCATACGATGTGACGAACATATGCAGCAGACCGCATGATCGGGTTGCCCGATCTGTACTTCTTCGCCCGAGTCCCCTTGAGCCGCCCCTCTCTCCCTCGGGACTTCGAGACGACTTCCGAGGTTCTGACTGTGCCTTATCCAACCATCGCCTACTTTCTTGGTTTGCTTTCTTTCTTTTTCTTCACCTTTTCTCCTCTGTAGGCGGGGAAAGGGGTAGTAGAGAAAAGGGAGAGACAGCAAATTTAGTGTTGTCGGCCAACACCTTCAACCGGCGTGGGATTCTCTCCTTGCTCCCCGGTTTCCTCATGGACCAATGAACGTTGGAAAGTTGGGACAGTGCAACCATGGGCTTGCAGACTACCCACATGTCGGGATACGGAGTAACGGGACGGTTTAGAGGCGCGATCGTAGGGTCTTGACGGGCCATATCGCGAGACAGACACATATTGTTTAATCATCTCGTCCTTGCCAGCTTTAAATGAATCACATGGCGTGGTGCAGGGCCTAGCTGTTCCTGGAGGGCACTTTTGAGCCTCTCTTCACCACCATCACTCCCCCTCCCGCATACCTCTCAACCTTACCGTGGCACACCTGACAACGCCTCTTTTCTCCGATCTGTGGTTCACGGTCCGATCGGATGTCCTGACCCTGAAATATGCACGATCTGTGAATCGATGAGGCTGCTGGCCGTGAGAGATCTTACGCCATATCGGAACACAACCCGGTTCAAGCCACTTTAACAAGGATTCTACAACTCTAGTAAGAGAGAAGGGGGGAGGGAGAGGATACGGAAAGGCACAGAGGGTCCCGGGAGACAACAAGGTAGCTGGGGTGGTCCAAGTCCAGAGTACAGAGTACGGCGCAGACACACCACGTAACATTGGAATAAGCAATAACGCCAAGCAGCGGGCACCCGTCTTCTACACCGACCCGGGCGGGAAATCCTGGTCCACCCTCCGATCTCCGTTTCCTTGGACGAGTTTACAGTCCCAGTGCCATGGAAAGTGAACATGCTAAGACCAACAGGCCCTTTAACGCGTTGGACTGTCATCTCTCCTCGATCAGCGTGCGAACCCAGGTCTCTTCCATCTCCGACCATCCTTCTTGAAACCGGCCAATGACCACGAGACGAGAAATGGTGGTACAGAACCTAAGTAGCCGTAAAGGTATCCGAACAGTCTTCATAGAAAGTCGATGAGGGGTCTAAAGAAAAAGCAAAGGGGGACTTGTACCACAAGTGATGGCAAACGAATGGTGAACAGGGACGGAGGGGGAGGAGGTGTTCGAGACGCCGGGCTTCGGGGTGACACGGGACGGTCAACTTCGGAGGCCAGTCCAGCTCCCCGTACTCCCGGAAGCACTCGCAAGAGAAGAAGAAAAACGTGGACGCAACATTAGGTATGTCTTGTAACGGCCGTTGGCCAAGTACTGCCTGGGTAGTCGTATTGTAGAGTGGCCATCCTCGGCAATCAAGACGGTCTTTGGAATCATCGGTGCCACATCACCACCTCCTTCGAGACATGAGTATGGGCGGCGTTCTAGATTGGGTGAAAGGTTGGTCTGGATCTGACAGTCTGATGGGCTCCCGCAGCCACATTTCTGGGCACGGCTGTAGGGGGGGGGGACTGAATAGCTCTTGAACAGCAAATCCTGAACAGGGACTCTTGAACAACACCTCCTGAACAAGTACTCTTGAACAGCACCTCCTGAACAGCTCTTTAACATGAACAGGGGAGCCAAAGGCGGTAGGCAGCTGCTGGTCGAAGCTCAAGCATGCGGTGGTATGCAGTTCCTCGAATGCTTTGTTAACGGGCAGTTGAGGCGCAGGTCGTGAAATGTATTTAAGGTACTGCATATGCCCTGCATCATACCCGAGACGAACTTGGATCTTCAGCAGCGCTCTTGTTAGCATCTCCAGATCTCACAGTCAACCTTACCTCTGCAACTTCTTTGGGTGTCCTACCACAGCCAGTACGTAATCCCTGACCGTCGTCCAGCTTTGAGCAATATGTGAGTCCGTCACCCAGACGAATAGTCGAGGATGAGTTGGCGAAGCTAACGAGCAATTCGAGCGAGTCTTTCCTGACTGAACAACGGGGAAATCAACAGCTGTCGGACTTTCTAAACACAGCTCTCAAAGCTTTCGACCATGCCGGACGAAAACCGAAACCAACAAAAGAAGAAGAAGAAGACACCAATGGATGAGGCAGCATATAAGCGACTCAGAGCGAGCCTAGGCCCGAATGTAAGTGTTTGGAATAGCTACTTGTTCAGCTACAGCTACCCTCACAAAGCCAGTCAGCTTACACAAAGTAGGACCCTGCTGTGAAGCGAGCGAGGGCCGCGCTCGACAAAGCTATTAAGGCTAAAAATGAAGGCTCGTCGAGTAACGCCGAACAAGGAGGCCAGTCAAGTGGTGGCGGTCAACAGGAAGGCGAGGTTGATGAGTGAGGGGCTTGGTGGTGTCTTTTTTGTGCAGACAGAATGGAGGAGTATCGTAACGCATAGGTTTTTTCTATTCCGAGTACTCATCTTCGTGCGTGATACTGCCGTGCCAACTTGTGATTTAAAAGACAGAGATGAGACTGATGGAGGAAGGAAAGAGGCGAGCAGAATGTCAAGAGCAGGGCAGGGGTAGATGGAAGTTGGCCAGGCCGACCCAAACCACTGGAATTTTTGGGGGAGAATCGTCCAACGTGACTGGTTGAGATCAACGCCTTGATCTTGGCTTGGGTACCAGGATCAGACAGTTGGTATAGGATGTCATTGGTTCACGAGAGGACAAACGGTCCTCTCGTGCCTCTCGCGGAGTCTACCCTTCTCGTAGTACCTACACTGGGGTGCCGAAAGCATGTTGAATACCCAGTTGCCTTTGTCGCGGCGTGTTACCGCCGAGGTCTGATACCCACGAATGGGTGACGAAAGCCGCTCGGTAGCATTGACTCACTGAGCCAGTAGACATGGTATTCGCCGCCAGCATAAACACCAAAGCAAACAAGGTGGGGCCAATGGAAGCCATAGAAGTGGAAGTTGCTGGGACTCTAGGAGCGAGGGGCAGAAGCGAGACGCGAGCGGCGAGGAGGGGGGTTGAAAAAGAAAGAGTCTAGATGTTTGTCTCTTGGAGAAGTAGGGAAGAGACGCGATAACAAGGATTGGTACTTCACCGTGGTCGAGATTACATTCTCTGTTGAACATTGCGGGTTGGAACAATGCTGTCTCCAAGTTTGTAGAGATTCCCAGAGATAAAGAAGTTGCCTCGGCGCTTTGATGTCAGTTTGATTCAAGGATCAAAGTCGTGGCGGTTGATGTCTCTTACCCAATACGATGAGCGGTGTCTGCCTACCTTACGTAGTACTTGCTTTGTCCTGTAAGGTAGGTAGTTACCCCGCTACCTAACTTGTTGTCTCACGTCAACCACGTTCCATTGTCGCAATGGCATCCTGAATCCTAGAAATAGGTACCTTACTCTATTGAGGTGGCAGGATAGGTACCTACTCCATACTCTGATACCTTGGTTGTCTCCACTATATTAAGCCACGCCACGCTCAGTCGCTGGAGATTGCTAGGTAATTCCCCCAAGGTACTGTACTCCGTATGCTAGGTATGGTGAACTTGCGATGCTTCGCTGAGGTTCACGCTTACCTCAAGGCAACCAGGCGTGACTTTAATCTGCTGCGGCTTCCCGCAACTCTTTTATCTGTACCTGAACTAAATTACCCTGAGGTGTGAAAGGCTATGGCTGGCAGTATCGAGAATAACTGTTCTAAGGCACGGAAAGAAGATCTGGAAGTACCTTTGGTAAGTTCCTAGGCACCTTAGGTAAGTAAGGTGCAGGCGCTTTGGGTTGGAGGAAACGGAAAAAGGTACTCCGTACATCCCATGAGTAGGTACTTAGGTACCTTACTGTGCAGGGTGGCAGAGGGTGCCAGTGGGTGCCCTGTCGTGCGGCGTGCCTGTTTTCTTACCGTCCAGTGCCTGGGCTTGAGGTCCACGGGTGGGTTCCATCCAGTTGTTCATCCTTCCACAGGTCGCCAGTGACGCCACACCACCTCCGCCTGCCGCCTGCACCCGCCTCTTTTTTTGACGTCCCACAGTCCCAAAGCCTGCTTCTTGCTTGTGTCGGCTGCTTCTGTTTGCTCTTTAACCCGGCTGCAGCCTCACTTCCGCGCGCCTATCGCGACATCACACTACAACGCGGCACCTTGGGAGATTTCGTCATCCTCTCCATCTGCAACTCCTAACTTGTTTGGTTTTCTTCAGTGACGGCTTCCGAGTCCCCAACACTTGCCACTAAACATATCGATCCTGCCACTGTGACCTGTGAGTGAACCCAGCTCACCCCAGGACCTTACTGCTTGCCTCTCGATTGGCTCCTGTCATCTTATCCGTATCCTTCTCCACCATTTCAACCCAACGCGGACTACCGACATTCGTACCTACCTTACCTTACTTGGACTGTCACCGACTCATCTCATACAAGGTCCTGCGCCAACGTTCCGGGACATGATCCCGTCGTTGCTGTCTCGACCTCGCCATCAAACATGGAAGTCAGCATCCAGAGAGCTTTGAACGATAAGCTCTATGACAAGCGCAAGGTCGGCGCACTCGAGTACGCCTTCCCACCCCCAGCTCTCATTCGCACTCACTTCATCTCATCTCATCTCATGCTCTTCACTCGCGGCTGACTCTTTTCATTTCAAACTTGCTTTAGGCTCGAACGAGTCATCCGAGAGCTGGTCGTCACTAGAGACTACCCAAGAGTCCAAGCAATCCTCGAGCAACTCTGCAATGAGTTCGCCTACGCGGTGCATCAACCCCATGCTCGAAATGGAGGCTTGATAGGCCTGGCCGCAGCTGCCATCGCCCTCGGTCACGTATGTGCCAACATGTACCTTTCATGAACTGGCTATGACCCCTGTTCTTGGCCTGGACCTTTGTGGCTGATTTGACATCATAGGAACTACCCCGCTATCTCGAGAAGATCGTTCCGCCAGTGCTAGCATGCTTCACCGATCAAGATGCGAGAGTCAGATACTATGCCTGTGAGGCCATGTACAATATTGCCAAGGTCGCCAAGGGGGAGATCTTGATATACTTTAACGACATCTTCGACGCCCTCTGCAAGGTTAGTACACTCGACGTCAAAGTCAAGAATACACCACCCCAGCGTCCTCCTTTGCTCAGAGTTCTGACCTGACCAAACACAGCTGGGAGCTGACTCTGAGTTATCCGTTAAAAACGGTGCCGAACTGCTCGACCGACTGATCAAGGACATTGTCTCTGAATCGGCTGCGTCGTACGTGTCCGTTCTTGAGGGAGAGTTGGACCAGCAGGAGCTTAGCGATAAGGACGAGCTTGAAGAACGCGCTGCTCCTCCCACCGCCTTTTCCTTACGCCGATTCATCCCACTCCTCCAGGAGCGCATATGGGTCATCAACCCCTTTACCCGCCAATTCTTAGTTGGCTGGATCACATTGCTCGACTCTATTCCTGACTTGGAACTCGTCACATTTCTTCCCGACTTCCTCGGTGGCTTGCTCAGGTTTCTGAGTGACCCCAATAGAGATGTTCACGTTGCAACTAGAGCCTGCCTCGACAAGTTTCTTAGCGAGATTAAGAGGATATCTAGGATCAAGAAGGGCATCGCTGAGAGCAAAAAGTCGCGCGAAGGCGGAAAACGAAAACGCGAAGAGTCGGTAGATTCGGGGAGTCTCCAAATCGGCCCGGAAGAGGGTGATGAGGTTGACTCACAATCCGACGACGATGATAGCAGCGGCGAGGAAGACTGGGTACCAGGACAAGATGTCCAGATCAACTACCGGAAAATTCTCGAGATACTGACCGCCACTCTGGACTCGCCCCTTGGTAAGGCTTGCATTTCACTCCGCCCCGGAGCCCAGCGTGGACCACAGCTGACTCTTTGTGTGATAGAGGAG